ACTAATTTTACTTTTCTGGTCTTGGGTTCATCTCTTTGGCACTTATCTTAGTTGTGTTTGGGATGACTTGTGCACAACTTTGTGCTGTGAAAGATGTATCTGTAGCTTGGAAAAGAAGGATAGAGAAAGGTGAGATTGCTATTTGCTAAAGTATGGAGGATGAATCTATTGGCAATTTAGTGGTGCAATTTGGAAGAAAGAAACTGGTAAATTTTGGGGCTAGAGCTTTCTCGCATCAAGAGTTAAACTTCCCTTTTGGGGTCATTCACTATTGCACTGCTGAACAGCTAAGATCAAGTGCTCAGAGTAATACTTAATGATTTCTGATATTCTAGTTAAATGTTTACATGATTTCTTGATAGCTTGAGCTTTTTTAAACTTAACACTTCTGGTGTCATTTGCTACTTCCTCCATTTTTGTTTTGATTGTTGCCAATTCTGTCATAATTTCCTGTTTAGGAGCTGCTAAATAGTTGCAACATCACTTTGTATGGCAAGTTTTTTTTTTTTTTTTTTCCTATCTATCTCTCTCCTTACTTTCCTAACTTGATGCTCGGGACGATTGGGGTCCTGCAGCGATTTTTTTTTTGTATGTAAGTGTGCTTCATTGAAGTGAGACACACTTAATAAAGAAATTGGGTTGGAAATGGCCTTTTTTTATAAAAAAAAAAAAATAAGTTTTATTATTTTATGGCTATTTCTGACTTTGGATGACCTAGAAACAGAAACCCTATAGAGAAAATATGCAGGTGCTCACTGATTGTTATGGTACCACTATTTTGGAGAGAGCTACTCTTTAGGATATAGAATGTTGTATATAAGGCTACTCTGTGTGCATGGTTAGTTCTTATGATAAGGTCGTCTGCTAAGGTGAGTGGGCTACATCTTGGAAAGAGCAGGAGATCTAAGATGAGGGTGATGTATGTAAATAAGCTTAACTAATCTCTGAGTTGCAGGAGTATGTGAGATCTCTAGATGACTTGATTTCATGGATGGTTCAAGGTGATCTTTGACGCCAATGAGCTTATTATCCTTTGTTATTGCTAGATTGTCATACTTGATACTTCACTTTTTATTCAATGACTGTGGTTGAGGTTATACATGGTGCTGCAAATTACTCTTTGTTAGCTTTGGTTTTGGGAATATAATTTAGCTCAAACTATGATTCTATCAAGCAGGCTTAGGTATCATTGATACTTTCACTTTTGAGAAGGATTCCTGGTCCTCTCCTTCTAGCAGCAATATATGTAATTCACTCATTGGAATATGGTGTTTCGGTGTTTGGCATTTTGTGTGAACTTTATGGATCTTTAGCTGAAATAATAAAAAGGAAGCCAAAAGCAGTTATTTTCTCTTGAAAGAGGAAAAATATCATTGAATATTGTTTTCTTTGCTCTTTGATATGGTTTCATGTTTTATACAAATCATAACTCTTTATTAATGGTTTTAGCTTGTGTTGTTGGCCTAGTTGCAGAGTATTTTAATAAGTACTGATGTTGGGATATATCACTTGCTATTGTTTGAATCATTTATCTCTTTGAGTCCTTGGTCATGTGATCCTAATATACTTAAACTGTCTTTGAAGTCGGAAAGGGCCCTTATATGTATTGCTTTTTACAGTGTTCGAGAACGTGAATTACTTGAAGAACTTGCTGTCCTTAGTACTACGAAAAGTAACCGTACACGTCCTCGTCCTCAGCCTCGACAAGCTGGTGAGTGATTTTTCTCCTATAAAAAGAGATGCAGAATGTCAAGTGGCCTCTGCCAGGGGTTAGATGGCCTTTACCCCTTCATCATAAAAAAAGATCTCTGTTAGACCTTGATTTGAAAATTGACTGACTCACTGCTTCATGACAAAGTAGTAGTAGAAAACAGGTTAAGATTCATTTGTTTATCACAATGTATTTTGAAGCTAAGGTTTCAAACATTGGAGACTCACTCAACTCTACTGAAAATGATATACTCGTATCTTGGTTGACCAAGCATATACAGATTTTACTTCATGACTCTTTGTTTTTCACATACGAGTGATAATAACTTTGCATATTTCCTGTCAAAAAAAAAAAAAAAAATACTTTGCATATTTAAAGAAAAGGCTTCATTTGTTTCCCATTTTTTTGATCATGAGAAAATAATCATGTGCTCCTTTTGTTAAGTTGAAGCGCCGGAGACTCAGGCAAGTATTGATACTGAAGAAAGCAAGGAATCAGGAGATCAGAATGACCCGTGGAAGAAATTAAAAGATTTTGCTGGGTAAATTAACTTAATCCTTCAAACTTTATCTTTTATCAGTGAGCTTTCAGTTTCTTTTCATTGAGATGTTTGTCGTGTGGACTTGTGTCAAATATTGGCAAGATTCATAAATATACATGTCTTTCTGTTGATTTCACTTAAAATATGCATTTTGAATTTTTGGCTGCACTTCATAGGTAATTTCTGTTTCCTTTTTTTTTGATGAGAGATGAAAAACAGGTTTTTTCTTGTAATTGGATTGGAATTTGCAATATATAGGAAGGGCTACTATTTACTTATTTGGATGTTGTTGATGTAAGAAGACTGATATGTTGTATCTACACCTCTGTTTAGAAGATATTTAATTGCTATCTGGAATGTTTTCTAGTTGAACTAGGACCAATGGGTTTAAACACTTACACAAGAACGTATATGATAACTGTCTAATCTCAACATATTGGTGGAAAAGCAATCCATTCCAAACTGTCCTCCTGTCCAGGCAATTACCTGAATGACTGAATAGTACCCGAAACTGGAAGACCCAACTTTTACTCGAAATGGAATGGACTCACTCTGAAAATGATCTGAATAATATAGATCTATATTACATAATAAACTAATTTATAATAGACCTGTTTTGACTAGATACCCGACCTGAACGATCTATCATCAGGATCAGTGGCGGACCCAGGATTTCCAATCAGGGGTAGCATGTAGTCGTTTAAAAAATTTAAAACCGAAAAAACATATCGAATAACTGAAAAACCGAACTTAATTTAGGTGGTCCTATCAAAAACATTCGCCAAAAATGGTACAACCTATGTTAGTACATTGTTATAGTAATTAACAATTGAATTCTGGACTTCTATACATTTGCATGACTGAGAACTAATTCAAAAAAAAAAAAAACAAAAAGCTGCAAAGTACTGTAATACAGAGTATTAAATATTGAAATGTGTATAAATTTTCGTTTTATTAAAATTAGTAGTTTTGAACTATATCTAACTTACCATTACAAATAACAAAATATTCCATACTCATTAAATAATTTAATTTGTGAAAACGAAAAAAAAGATCTTTATTATTGACAAGAGTATTGAAGAAATTTAAATTAATTTTTTTTTTTTTTAAATATAGTCCAAAGGAAAAAAGTAATTTGGAACAAAGAGAAAGGATGGGTTAAAACTTAAAAATGTCGGAGGAGAGGTTCGAACCCTTGATGGCTTGCCGGGACAACCAATAGTTTAGCAAAAAGATCCATTACCATTGCAGCAAAGCATTAGCATTAAATCTAAATATGCAGTTATAAAATTTTGTACCAAATTTCTTGGGGTAGCATGTGCTACCCCTAGTTACAATGTGGATCCGCCTCTGATCAGGATATGATCCAAACTAAAGTGACCTGAGTCAATTTCAATCCAAACATATTTGCCACCGCTTTGTACGACTTTATTAGTCTACTAGTGGTAATTTGTCTCATAAAACATTTTATATAATGTTAGGGTAACTTTTTATTCATTCAGGGGTGATGTGTATGTCTCACCCAAGACCAGCTAAAAGTATTACATATGGTCAAGCAAATTATAATTGAATAAACAAGGTTTATTCTTCCTTTGATTTTCAACAATTCTCAACCTTCAATTTTTACTTTAAAGAGTATGTGGACAATTTCATATAGGGGAAGGAAAGGTAAAATGCGGGAGTAAGGAAGGGGAGGGAAGTGAGCTTGCATATTTTTTTTTTCCAAATCTTTTCAATATTGGAAGCAGTTGGTTTATTAAAAAGGGGAAGGGAATTGAATCTTCTTTTCATTCACTTCCCCCCCTCTTATTTAAACAAGAGAAAATGGATCCCCTGTTTCCCTTCCTTCAAATTCCCTTATCCAACCACAGTATAATGCCTCTATGTTATTTTCGTCCTGTATCTTGCCTTTTCTTGCTTTCTCCATCCCTCATTCCCGGTCACCCTAAATCCTTACAGTGCTGCTCTAATTTAAGGTTTTATGTAATTTAATTTGTAGGACAGTTTTTCATAAACACTCCTGCTTAATATGTTCTTCTCGCAACTTGTCTGAAAAATATGTTCATGATATACATTAAGTTGGGATACTACTTTGTTCTGATAGAATCATACATTGTATGTTACCAATCAGCTATTCCTAATTGTCTTTTGAGGTTACATATGTTGTTTATGCACATTTACACATCTAACTAAATGAATGGTTGTGGCAGATCGGTGGCAAACGGTGCTCTAAAATGGCTGAGGGATAATTTGTAGTTGTGATCTCAGCTTGTTATACTGATATCTTCTGTTGTGAGCATGCATTTTAAAATGCCTTGAAGGAAGCAGGTGAGAGTAAACAGAATTGGTTGCTTGGCCAGAGAGATTGGCTGCAGCTAGGACAATTTTTTGATTCTTTTGCGCAGTTTTTAAATGGCTCAACCTGATGGTGCCTTTTTTCAACCTATTGTAATGCAAATATGCAATGCGCAAATGTAGAGTAATATTGACTCCTTTTTGAACAGATGACATGATTCAGGGAATTACAATGATTGGTAAATTGAAGAGTATTAACCGCTTGGTGTTTGAGTGCGCTTCTTTCTTGCTAAAAGGAATGCAAAAAATTGTGTTACCTGCCGACAGAGTCCGAGACAGTAGTTTTTCTTAAATCAATTATAAACAATATCTTTCAAATAAACTATCTTTTGTAATTTTTGTAAAAAATGACTACGTTCTCGATGTTTAAGTTTTTACTGCCCACTTGTGAAATTCATTCAATTTGGTAACAATAAATAATATTAGTTGGTACTAACAAAAATGAATTTTGTTATTGGGTAGAGACATACTCGTATTTTGTACCAAGAAATGCATCTAGAACTGCTACAAAAGAGTGAGTATTACAACATTAGACAAGTTTTCGAAATTTGCAACTTGCATTCCAATCGTTGTTATGAACACTAATTGATGTACATAACTGCTGTAACTTCATAATATACAACTGAATCTTTGTTTGCCTCTTGGCTCAAGTGTCCGCATTGCTTCAACATATAGCCATGGTATTCGTTAGTGTCCACATCCTGCTACTCCGTACCACACAAGAGGTCATTCTTTACGACTACCGTTGGATAAAAGCAGAATAGATATGACTACAGGAGAAGAAATCATCAGCAAAGCCTGGGTAATGTTGGGTTTGGTGATGTCGGGGATAATAGCACTGCCATATTTGATCAATGCTGCACCGAAAATTGAACCAGCAGCTAACTTCAACAAGTAGGTAAAGTCGTCCTGCATTGTTAATGACAAATGTATCATGTACTCATGTTAAGAAGCAAGAAAATCCTATTATTTGTCTACTGCAGGTTATTTAATCGGTGGCATTGCTAGAGTTGTTTGAACAATTAAGTCACAAAGTTTGTGAGGGGCTTCTAAATTCCTTTATTAATACTCTGTATGATATAGAAGAATGTTTAGGTTATTGAGGTTGGAGTGTTTGATACTATACCTTGAATGTCACAATAAAATTGCAACGATATATTTGGACAATGTTTCACGTTTCACTAAAATTGCAACGATATATTTGGACAATGTTTCACGTTTCACTAAAATTGCAACGATATATTTGGACAATGTTTCACGTTTCAATAAAATTGCAACGATATATTTAGACATGTAGCTTGCAATTTAAGTAAAACGGAGGAAGCATATCAATACTAAAGTTGTCACATTATTACAACTTTACAAGTACTTTGCAATATTGATACATATACATTAATTTTCGATTTTGAATACCAATAAAATAGCTAACAATTTATAAGCATATGAGCGTTATCTCAATAGATAAATGTAAAAATGAAAGGTGAAGAAGCTGCAAGCAAGTGACTTTAAAACTCAGGTTCAAACTCATATACAAGAATCCAATAATTCATATCTGTGCCCTTTCTCATATGCCTATAAAAATATGAAAAAAATTAAAATTTCTGCCACAAATTCCTAATAACGGGTTCTTAAAAATCCCAGCAAAAAAATTGGAAATTTAGCTTCATCTAATTAAAATGGTTGATAGATACGTCAACAAAATCAAGATCAAATACACTCACAATTGATCTAGTACCTAATTTCAATTAACAGTACACGAATTTCGGATAAAAATAATGAGCAAAATAAAGAGAAAAATATAGAGTATTAACCTGAAGATTAGGAGGAGGAACTGAGTTTGAAGGTGAAGTTGGTTCAGAAGAATTGGGGCCAGAAGAAGCTCGAACAGCAGGAAGTAATGGAGGTCGAATTTGATATTTGTAGTTTTTGATTGTTGTTTTTGTGATTGTGATTGTGTTTGTTAAACATGGTGAAGTTTTGGTGTTGATGGAAGTTGGGGAAGAGAAACAAATAGTTGGTGACAAAGTGCACAACTTAATTGCCATTAGATTTGGGTATGGTTTGGTATCTAAGCTTCACCAAATGTGTTTCTTAAATTGAATAAAGAAAAGAAAGAAAATAATACGGATACAACTTAGGCCCTGTTCTTTTGAGCAGGAGTCAGCAGAGCAGAACAGATTTCTGCAGATTATTATTAAATATTAATTATTATTATTATTAAATATTAATTAAAAATGATTATTATTATTATTATGTTATATTAATTATTATTATTATTATTATTATTATATTATTTTAATTATTATATTATTTTATATTAATTATTATTATTATTAAATATCAATTGTTATTATTAAATATTAATTATAAATGATTATTATTATTATTATTATTTTTGTTATTATTAATTATTTATTTTAAAGATATTATTAATTATTATTTTTAATCCAGAGCAGAGCAAATTTCAGTAGAGCAGGGCTCAGCAGACCAAAGCAGAGTAGCTTTAAAAAACAGGGCCTTAGTCAGTTGTTGCAAGGATATACGGAGGAGAAGATACAACTCATACAAGTTAATACGGAGTATCCTATAAAAACAGTTATTTATATTTAGGGTAATTTTGTAAATTCACCCTCCATCTTCTTTCTTGAGTAGAGATGGCATGGATTAGATTTGGATTGGCTGGAGCTTCACCAGCATCCATCCATTATTCCAATCGCTCCATCCACATCCATCTGCCACCCGCTTCACCCATCATCCATATCCGCGGATGAAACGGGTGGAGCGGATGACTAATGGATGAGTATTTAAAGTGAAAATAAAAATTAACAGAAACTCTAATTTTCTGTTATTTATACAATAATTTTTATTTTTATTTATAAAAAAGGAAACAATAACAACATATGGTTTGAAGAAATTAATTAGCAATAAAAAAAAAGTGACGAATGAAGCAGTTAATTAGCATTGTTAAATGGATGGTTACCAGGTGAAGTAAAATATCATCCACATCTGATTCGATCCATCACCCGCTTCATTCGTCACCAACTTCTCATCCATTTAATACGGGTTTCCGTTAATTTATTTAAAGCGGGTGGAGCGGGTTAACGGATATCCATCTAATATTGCCATCCCTATTCTTGAGCAACCACCCCTTTCTCTCTCCTCTATCTACACCATCAGACCATCACCACCCACCACCGCACGACCATTAGCACCACCCACCACCGCACGACCATTAGCACCACCCATCGCAGCGTCGCTCTAGCTACACGACCCCACCAGTATCGCTCAACCCCAATTATAAAAACCATCAATGCTTTTAAGGTTTCCGACCACGACATGCCTTGCTTCTTCGTCTTCAACCGTACACGAGCAAATACCTTTCCTTAAGGAGGTACTATCGCCCCACTTACCTGTTCGCTACTGTTGATAGTTTTTATTAAAACTAGATTAGTGCCTGTGCGATATACGGTTGTAATAATCTTTTTCCCATAATTAATTGTTATATAATACAAAAATGAGGCAACTCATGTGGAATAAACAAATGCAACGCATATAGAAAAATAAAATAATAAGACAAAAATTATTAAAACTATGATTGAGAAAAAAAAAATTATTGTTGATTAGTTGTGTTGAAAATATTTAAAAGTGGTATACAATATATTACATTAATGATGCATATTATTTCCTAATAAAACTATACAATCTATTGACTATATGACTAAAGACTTATTAATAAATGCTTTTTAATAAACATGAAAATATTACTCAAACAATAGAATAAAATCTACAATAAAACTATTAGCACAGGATATATATAAATATATAAATTACAGATAATATATCACATACAAAGTATAATTGTTAACTTAATCTTACAAAATTTAATTTATACTTCATATTAGAAATATCTTAACTTAATCTTACAAAAAAATTTCAATTCAATTTATACTTCATATTAGAAATATCTTAACTTAATCTTACAAAATAACATTACACATACAAAGTATAATTGTTATCACTCACTCTACTTTTTTAAGTGTTACACCATTTTTTGTTTCATTTTTATTTAAGCACTACACTTCCTTATTTTTGGTAAATTAACTACCGTTAAATTAAAGAGTATAAAATATTATTATTGTAGTAAGTTGCTTATTATTTAAAAACTAATTTAATTTTAATAATATACAACTTTACGAAATATTTTTTGGTTAAATCTGTGCATCGCACGGGTACTAATCTAGTACTCTGTCTAAAACATGTCCAGGCGGTAATGATAGTATATTGTACCTAAACCAGTGGCTCACTTTTTCTATAATTAAAAAAGAGTTGGAATAATATTTTAGGTAAATGTGTATGGAAGAAATAAGAATACGAAATAAACAGATATACATTTTATGTAAAGATAATATATAAGACTTTGAATAATATTATTATCGGCGTCTTTTTGGTGCAGCAGGCCGCACCGTGTGGCCTGCTGCCAAGTTAGCAAAAATAACAGGCCCAGACGCGCGCATAACGGGGTTAGTATTCACGCGCATAACAAACTGATATATATAAAAAATCCTCTCTAGCGCGAATCCCTAAACCTTAAAACCTAGGAAAACACATTGATTGCGACGATTGAAATCGGCGATCAAAACGAGGAAACGTATGCGAAAATTGAGTTAAACTCAAACAATTATTCTTCCAGAAATTCAAAATAACAATGACAAAAGAATGCGAAAACGAACTTACCTGATTCACAGGAATTAGTAGAGATCGAACTAATTAGAGATTCATTGATGAATCTGGAAATCCAAACCAGTAATCAGGTATTGGATCTTGAAGATGAAAACAGATACAAACAAATTGAAGTATATGATGTCAACAATGAGTTACAAGGTAAATTATGTGAATATAACCCTAAATTTAATCTACATTGTTTTTATCATTTAATAAGTAACCATTATAAATTTAATGAGTAACTCTCATAAATTCTGTAAAAAGCTTACAAGTAACCCCTGAATATTTAATATATTTCAATATACTTTAATAAATTAAGCTAACAAGTAATATTGATTATATAACATGTAACACCTGTATACTTTAATAAAAACATAACAAGTAACCCTTGTGTAGTTTAACAAGTAACCCTTGATTAAATACGCTAACAATAACTCTTGATAAAAGTATATTTTAACAAGTAACCCCTATATATTATTAAAAAGTAACCCTTGTATATTATAACAAGTAACCAAAGTATCCCCTGCATATTATAACCAGTGTGTATTGTAACAATTTCCAGTTGTATTTCCTAACTTCAATTTACAATTTGCAGAAATGAATACAAGTACTACAGAAATGAGTTATAGTACATTGACAGAAGAAAGTGGAAATCAAGCTGAACTTCAAGTAGACGATTTCGCAGGAAGTCTAGTACGGTTTACAACATCAACTTTAGATGAAATATATGAGCAATATAGACTTCATGCTATGGTAGTAGGATTTAGTATAAGACATTCAACAACAAGATGGTCACAAAGAAAAGACAGAGAAATTAAAGGAAAGGATTTTGTTTGTTCTAAAGAAGGGTTTAGATGTGCACCAAAAGCCAAAAGAAACCCCCTCCACCAAATGAAAAAAGAAAAAAGGAACACACCAAGTACCTATTACTAGGACTGGTTGCAAGGCATTCATTAGGGAAAAAAAAAAAAAAAGCAGCGAAGGAATGTTTGAAGTAGAAAAATATGTTATGGCATATAACCATGAGTTGACAAGAAGTGTTTGACAACATCTACACACATCAGAGAGACAAATAGCAGAGGACAAAGCAAAAGTCATTGATCTAATGGCAGATAGTGGATTAAGAACAGTAGAGGCATTTAGATTATTAAGTAATGAAGCTAGTGGAGAAGAACTTGTATGACATAATATGATAGACCACTACAATTACATTTCAAGGAAGAAGATGAAAGAAATTCAAGGAGGCGATGCACAAACTGTAATAGATAGATTATACAAAAGGCAGGAAAAAGATGAAGATTTCTTTTTCAGGTAAACCCTATAAGTAACCTCTATTAAAAACAACTAATCTGAACTTTTGTTACAACTCATAGAAATAACCAAGCATATAAGTAAATCCTAAGAAAAACCCCTTAAAATACAATTAAACCCCTTTAAATACAAGTAATCTGAACTCATACAAATAACCAACCATATAAGTAACCAATACAAGTAACCCATACAATTAAATACAAGTAATCCCTTTAAATACAAGTAACTAAATATAAGTAATCCCCTTAAAATATAAGTAACTCCTTAATTTCTTTTTTAGATTTAAGTTAGGAGGAGGGGAAAACCAAAACAAAATGAATGCTATTTTTCGGAGAGATACTGAAATGAAGGAAGATTTTCAAATTTATGGAGATGTTGTCGTATTTGACACCACATACAGGACAAACAAATATAATCTTATTTGTGCTCCTATTGTTGGTGTCAACAATCACTAGCAGAATGGAATGTTTGCCTGTGCTTTTATTGCTGATGAGAAAATTGAGAGGTTTAGTGGGTGTTAGACACTTTTAAGAAATCAATGGGTGGTAGTGAACCTGCCTAAATATTCACAGATCAAGACTTCGCCATGTCTAAAGCAATTGAAAAGGTAATCTCTGAACTTGTCTATTATTTCAGTAAAATCACTTTAGTAATCCTTGTTTATATATTAACAAGTAATCCCTGTTATTTTTATACAGGGGCTACTTGTTAATAAACAATTGTGGTTACTTGTATAGTTCAATAAGTAACTCTGAATATGAAACAAGTACTATTTATGCATAGTAAACTAACAAATAATATCTATATTTACACTTTTGTAGGTGTTTCCTCACTCAAGACACATCTTTTGTATTTGGCATCTTATAAAGAATGTTGTATCAAGGATTGGAGCACTGAAAAGAGATACATCATTCAAAGATGCATTCAACAAATGTCTTTTTGGATGTGTGATAGAGGAAGAATTTCAGGTAGCCCCTATATGTATCTTCCTAATACAAGTAACCTTGTTATATTGACAAGTAAGACATATATTAACAAGTAAACCCTTTAACGATTTTTTATTTAGTGA